TTGAATAAAGTATTTCCACCTCAAAGTCCGCACGTGAGTTAACCATTTTACGGATAAATAATCAACCTGTCTGCCATCTTGTTGAACGTGATCACTTTCCCCTTCCCCCGATTTTACCCCCTACGCTTTGTGGCACCGCATTAACAGGTAGGTAGGTAGGTAGGTAGGTAGGTAGGTAGGTAGGTCGGTCCCTTGAATCATCTGTATGCATGCACACGTACCTCCCCCACCCGCAACACCCCCACCAAAAGGAAAGGAAAACGGCTTTTCGACCAACACCGGATGCCACAGATCATGCCATAGGACGAGGCCTGAGGCGGTAGATCCTGCGGTTGACTGACCCCATGAGAACAGCTCCATCACCACCCCCACCCCACCTCCTATCATAAGAGCTCCCTTAAGCTTGGCTTGGCCAGACTAAAAGCCACAGGGTGTATGGGGGGCTGGGAGCAGGGGTAGTCAGTTCGGTCCTGGCTGGCAGGCAAGATAGGTGAGTGGTCTCCCTGGCTGGGTCTATCTAGCAGACCTCACTTTTCTGCCTCTCATTTGTGTCTTGGGTCCAAAAGGGTGAGAGCTGCTGCTAAGGGGAATGGGAACGGAAAGGAACGGAAGCTACAGAAACCACCAGGTGAGGGCCTCCCTGGTGGCACAGGGGCTTACGTTTCACCACTACGAAGCTATCAAGCTATCGGCACCCATGGCAGCACGAGTTCGATCCCCGGCCAGGGAGCTGACCCACATGGCTGCATGGCACAGTGGACCTCTCCTGTCTCTCCTGCTGCTGCTGCTGCTGCTGCTGCTGCTGCTGCTGCTGCTGCTGCTGCTGCTCCTCCCCTCAGCAGCGTTGCACAGGCAGGAAGTTACGGTGCAGGATCTCTATGATTCGAGCAGATGGGTGAAGGAGGAGTCCTGGAGCCCTCGGTGGCTTTTCCAGGCTTTTATTGAATTTACCAGGTACACGGCAGGTAAGGGGAAGGGGGGGAGGGGGGAAGGGTTGCACGCGGGCGGGAGGCTGGCTGGTCTCCCAGCCCCCAGCGAGTCTTCACTGTTTCTGGGCTGCTGTCCGGCCTTCTCTGGTGGCCTCTGCTCTTCCTTTCTTCTCTTTCGTTCCCTTAGTGTCCCCGTGACAACGCCCTTCTAAGCCCAGTCTCAGCCCAGGTGTACCCACTTATGTATGCCCCCACACCCTACTCCAGGTGCCAGCCATCAGGCATGCCTTCAGGGCCGCAGATCCATCATCAGTCCTAATGGCGGGAGGGCAGAAAAGCCTGACGCTTGTTCATTTACCCAACAAGCGTCTTTCAGTCAGTCAATCCTGCCCGTTCTGCTCCCCCACTCTCACCACCACCACCACCACCACCACCACCACCACCACCACCACCTCCACACACACGCCCGCCCCACGCCCCTGCCCCGCCCCACCCCTCTGGCCTACACCCCAGCTCTTGTATGCGTAAATAAATAACACCAAATCTTTTTCCTAAAGATGTATGTATGCATGTATGTATGCATGCATGCATGCATACAAGAACTGGGGTGCAAGCCAGAGATGCTGGGGGGGGGGGCGGGTGAGAGGATTCACCAGAGACAGAGTGGGAAAAGAGAACAGGCAGATGGACTGAAATACACTGCTGAGGTGTAAGGGCAGGAATGGGCACAGGGCAGGTTTTCTGTGATCCCATGCAGACACGGTAAAGGAGGAGTCAGAGTCCTGGAGCCCTCGGTGACTTTTGCAGGCTTTTATTTGGATTGACCAGGTGCACGGCAGGCAAGGGTGCTGGGGGGCGCTGGGAGGCCTCCCAGCCCCCCAGGAAGTCTTTTTTTTTTTTTTTAAGATTTATTTACTTTATTTTTATTTATACACGCACTGGGTACAGTCAGAAGCACGGGAGGGTGAGAGAATTCACCAGAGCCAGAGCAGGGAGCAGAGCAGGCAGAAGGACCAAGGTACACTGCTGAGGGGAGCAGCGGGCGGCGGGGGAGGTCTGCGCGCCATGTGGGACCCTCCTCGGTGGCCGGGGAGCAGCCGGGGATCGAACTGGTGCCTCGGAGGCTGCGGGCAGCTTCGCAGCCCAGCGCTCAACCGCTGCACCACCGGGGAGGGCCCCCACCCCCCCCCCCCCCCCAGCAAGTCTTCACTCTATCTGGGCTCTCCGGCCTTCTCTCGGCTTCTGCTCTCGCGTGGTTCTGCTTCTGCTTCTCTGCTTCTCTTCGCTCGGCTTCTGCTGACGTCCCCGCGCCGCCGCCCCTGAAAGCCCAGTCTCAGCCCGGGTGAATCCCATCTACATAGGCCCAGACCCTATTCCAGGTGCCCGCCATCAGGCATGCATTCGGGACCACAGGGTTCCATCCTCTATCCTAATGGCGGGAGGGCAGAAAACCCTGATACTTCTTACCTTACCCTACATGAGGGGAGCAGCAGGCGAGTCAGCAGAGGTCTGCTGCGCCATGCGGGTCACCTCCCTGGCCGGCCGGGAAATGGAACGCATGCTGCAGTGGCTGCGCACAGCTTCATAGGTTGCGTCTTAAGCCCTTGCTCCACCAGGGAGACCCCAAATAACAACAAATCTTTTTTTTTTTTTTTTAAAGATTTATTTATTTATTTATACAAGCACTGGGTACAGTCAGAAGTGCGGGAGGGTGAGAGAATTCACCAGAGCCAGAGCGGGGAGCACAGCAGGCAGAAGCACCAAAGTACACTGCTGAGGGGAGCAGCGGGCGGCAGGAGAGGTCTGTGCGCCATGTGGGACCCTCCTCCGGTGGCCTGGGAGCAGCCGGGGATCGAACCGGCGCTGCAGAGGCTGCGGGCAGCTACACAACCCAACGCTCAACCGCTGCGCCACCAGGGAGGCCCAACAACAAATCTTAAAGAAAAAAGAAACTGCCAGGCAGGTGAAACCTCTCAGAGGGATTCTTATTTTACAGTTTTCCACAAACTGGGTGTCCGCGCGGTGGAGCTCACTTCAGACTCCTCCAGGCGGCGCCTAGCATCCTGCCACCTGTCCCCATCCTTTTTTACAGGAATCCTGTGTGAGCACATGTGTTTCCTACCCCGCCCACCAAATTAGGGGCGGGGGTGGGGGTTGGGGGGGGCTCTGACCTGTCCTTGGGGAGACTGGGTTGGGGGGAACTCTGTGCCCATGACACCCAGTGTAAGGAAAATGAGTAAATCAGGCTACTTTTCGCCTTCCACACAACAGACAGCCCGTACGTTGCAACGCTATGTTTTCCAACATTTGGGCATCTAGCAAGCAACAGGTTTGCAACAAAGTATCGGCTGTGCGGCTATGGGCTCTTCACGGTGTGAAGGGGCCTTGGGCAGTGGAAGCGCTGTCCTGCCTCTCTCAGCATTGGAGTCCCTCTGGCTCTGCCTGCCCACCTGCCTGTAGGGCCCCCCACCCCCACCCCCGTCTCAGCATGAAAGGAAGGAATGCAAAAATATGCCAGAGGCGCCACAATTCCTTCCTCTGCGAGAACTGACAATGAACCTAGCCGGCCTGCAATGTTTGCAGGACACCCAGCCTTTCCCGTGGGAAGCGGGTGGGCTCAGGCCAGGGAGCAGAGATGGAGAGCACTCTCTAGAAGAGCATGGGAAGGCGAGTGGTGATTACCGAAAGAAGACCTGCCACCAGGGCAGAGTGCCAAAGAGCGGACACTTTGGTTTTTTTTTTTCTGTTGTTTCACGGTTGAAGAGAATTGCACAGATCGCCGGCCCTCGCCCGACGCCGCTGCCGCCTGGCCTGCGGAAGCTGAGGACCGTACACCCTCCCCCCACCCCCACCCACCCAGCGAGGGGGACTCGAGGGTGGGGGGTTGGCACTGGAGCCGGGGAGGGCGGTGGCCTGGGAGGAGACGCCAGCTCAGGCCTACCTAGGTCAAAGCTCCGCCTTTCTCCGGAGGCGAGGGAGGAGCGCGCTCTACATTTGAATGGGAAACGCTCCCCCCCGGTGGGGCCCACACCTCCCCGTTCGTCCCCCTCCCCCAGAGAGTCTACTGTTCCTCCTAAGGTGCTGGGGGGTTGGGGGTGTGTTCCTGAGTCAGGCACAACGTTGGGCTTTGCTGCCACGCAATCTGCATTTTCACAGGACCACCCCCTCCCCCACGCCAAGTGAATCCTCTGTCCATTCCTTTGAGTAGCAAGGCTCTAGGGATCTAGTAGCAAGGTTAACATGGGTGAGTAATCCTCTCCGGCGCCTCTCCCCGCCCCGCCCCGCCCCTCCCCTCCCTCAATCTTGCATGATAGGTTTCATCCGCAGCCGTTTTAATGAACGTGATTATCTTCAGGAATTAGGACCTGGCGATGAGAGAACGACAACAAAAACCTTTAAGGTAGCGAAGTGAAAAAAATCGCAAAAATGCAAGGGAGTTTGGGACTCCCTGGTGGCGCAAGGGGTTAAGCACCACACCATGCAGCAGTCCACAGCCTCTGCAGCACAAGTTCTCCATCCCCCCCCCCCCACATGGCGAGGCAGACCTCTCCTCCTGTCTTGCCCCCTGCTCCCCCCGCCCCCCCCCCTACAGCAGTGTGTTTCAGTCCGTCTGCCTGTTCTGCTCCCCACTCTGTCTCCGGTGAATCCTCTCACCTTCCCCTCCGCCCCCCATCTCTGGCCCGTACCCCAGCTCTTGTATGCATAAATCAATCAATGAATCAATAAATCTTAAAAAAAAAAAATACAAGCGAGTTTATTTTAAAGACGGAGATGCATTTATTCAACGACTCAGGAACTATGGGCACCTGACCGGTGGAAAGGGGGCTAGTTCTGCCTCTCTCAGAGTTGGAGTCTCTCTGGCTCTGCCTGCCCGCCCGCCCGCACGCCTGTCTCAGCATTGAAGGACTGCAAAAATATGCCGAGAGTTCCACGATTCTCCTGTCCTCTGCGAGAAGTGACAGTGACTCTACTGGGTCTGGGATGATTGCATGACAGACGTCAAGGTCATGAAAGAGGGAATTATCTCAGGCTGAGGTCACCTGCCTATGGGGGCGGGGGGGGGGGGGGAGGTCTGGAGGCCAGCGACCCCATCTTCCTTCCTTTGGGAAATTGGAAAAGATGAGCCCATTGTTGCGGGGTAGGAGAAAATAACATCCTGGTTCCATTTGGAAACACATTGGTGGGGGGTCGGGTGCTGCAGCTTCTGAGTCAGCAGAGGGGTTGAAGGCCAAGTTAGTGAAAGGTTCGGCAGGGAAAGACGAGGAGGAGGAGGACGACGAGATTTATCAGCAGCATTCTCGTCCTTAGGTGGGCTTCCTACCAGATGCTTCTTCACCCTAGCAACTCTGGTCCCTGCCAGACCTTTCAGTTAGGTTTGGTAAGAAGTCTTGCTGGTCCTCACACAGCGCCTCCATGCGGGGTCTGTAGTTTTTGTTTGTTTGTTTTTCTTTTTTAAAAGATTTATTTATTTATGCATACAAGAACTGGGGTACAGGCCAGAGGCATGGGAGGTGAGAGGATTCACAGGAGACAGAGTGGGGAACAGAACAGGCAGATTGATGGAAATACACTGCTGAAAGGAGCAGCGGGCAAGTCACGAGAGGTCTGCTGGGGATCGAACTCGGGCAGCAGTGGCGGTGGGTGGATAGCTTCATAGGTTCCTTCTTAAACCCTTGCGTCACCGAGGAGGCCCCGGAAGCCCTCTTTAAGAAGCACCCCCTTACTGGCAGATAGGCCAATTCCTCACTGACCTCTCTTTTGAATGACGTGAAAATAACTTCTAGAAGATCTTTATGCGGTCACAGCTTTTCGATTGACTCTTCATCCCTGAAATGGATCATCATGACTATTTCGTGGGGAACTTCCCCGCCCCCCCTACTTTTTTTTTTTTTTTAATTTTTTATTTGTTTATACAAGCACTGGGTACAGTCAGAAGTGCGGGAGGGTGAGAGAATTCACCAGAGCCAGAGGGCAGAGCAGAGCAGGCAGACTTGATACAGTTAACAAGTTTGTCCTTTCCCCATTTCTTGCAATTCCCCCTTATCTAGCATTAAGAGGACTAACAGCTTGTCTTTCCCATTTGTTGCAGCTCCCCCCTGCCCTTTGAGAAGAAAAACAAGCTGGCGCTCACCGGTTTCCGTGCAGACACCTTCCCCTTCCCTTAATGAATGAGTTGACACCCATGGGCCTCTGAAGACTCCTTCCCCATCTCTGTGCTGACACTTTCCCCCTCCCTTTGATGAAAACCAGCTGGTACCCATCCATCTCCGTGTTGAGCTGGCGCCCACCTGTCTCCGTGTGGACCTCTTCCTCCTCCCCTTCGCGAACCCCTGCCCCTCTCCCCCTAGTATAAATACCCCTGCCCACTGCCAAAGGGCAGGACGGCGGTCTTTTGGACATGAGTCTGCAGCCCTCCTCATTTGTCGACCAATAAAACCGCTTTCCTTTTCCTCAAACTCGGTTTCCTTTTATTGGCTGAGGGAAACTGAGGCCGGCATTCGGTAACAGACTGACGAAGTACACTGCTGAGGGGAGCAGCGGGCGGCAGGAGAGGTCTGCGCGCCATGCGGGTCCCTCGCCCGCCCGGGGATCAAACCGGCCGGCGCTGCAGAAGCTGCGGGCAGCTTTGCAACCCAGCGCTCAACCGCTGCGCCGCCGGGGAGGCCCCGGAAGTAGTTCTTAATCCCGTCACACAGACGCCTTCATCCATAAGCCTTTTGGACTAAAACCAGACTTAGTCCATTATTCATTCCTTCTCTGGCTCTTCTTGTGGCTTTTCTTCGATCTTACGGGAGACTTTGAGTGGCTCCTGCATCTGTGACTGCGATGATGACCTGGTGATTTGGAACGGGATCTGTGCCGTCTATCTCGGGACCAACTGCGATGTCCTCTTGGACTTCTGCTCTGATGCCTTTCTTGGCGAGGGGAGGGTCTCCTCCTTTTGGGAGACCGACTCTGCCTTCTTGGAGACTGGCTCCTACTCCTCCTATAGCGCAGTGTGGGAGAGCGCCAGGGTTTGTCTACGTCTCGGTGGCTCCTGCGGCAGTGATCTGGTGATGGTTCCCATTGCTCAGCTTCCTCTAGTACATCGCGTTTCTGCAGCCGTGGGAGAACGATGTCACAGACTCTCTCTCACTGTGCAGCAGTTCATCAATAAACTCATCTACATGCATCAGTTCAAATTCTCCGTTGGGTTTCTGGATCTTGATTTTTCTGTAGTCATTATACAGAGGCTCCAAGTACTTGTAGCAGTCAGTTGCAGTGCCTGTCAGCCTCATGTAAAGTGCTCCCACCATGCGGACATACTTGAAGTCTTCATTTTTGATAAACTGTACAATGATGTCCTTCTCTGGTTGAATCTGAAGCATCTTCAAGGTCAAACATAGAAAGGGAGTTGGCTTTATGTTGCCACCATAGACGCCACCCACAAACCTTAACTCCATGGCTTTATCTACTGCAAGTTCAGCTGTAAGTCCAAAGCACTCTTCTTTCCAGTATTTGGACTCATAGATTCGCGCTCGAATGATCTTCTCCACCAGATATTGAGGGTTGGTGCCGTGGATGCTGTGCGCATCCTTCACTGTACAGTTTGCCATTTTAGAATGCCTTCAGTTCTATTTCCGTCGGGTCCTTTAATACGTCACATCCGGACTTTTGGGGAAAAAAAACGAAGAGAGAGAGGGAGAGATGGAAAAAATTAAACAGTTTAAGCGACCATCTCGAAACTGGAAACAAAGGGTGGTTATTTTTTTTTAAAAAGAAAGACAAGGAGTGGCGCCTGCAACATCACAAACGACCGGTATAGGCAGCCTGGCAGTTGGTGGGCTTGATGTTGGTTTGAAGAGGAGGTGTTGGGTGTTGGGGGGGGGGGGAGGGGGGCCTGTGAGGAAAGTTTCCTCGGGCCTTCCCTTTCAGCGATAAGCGGTGAGGGTCCCCACCAGACAGAGGCCTTTTGGTTCTATCCCAAGGGGGCAGGTTCATGGTAAAAAAAGGGAAGGGAAGTTAGGGATGCTCGCACAGGCACAAGTGGCAGAGAGAGCTGCCCCTGTAAGGGACGGGTTGGTTTAAAAGAGAGGCCTGCCTAGTCACAGGTGGGCAGTATTGCTTGTGCTGCTTTGCCAAGAGTGGGAGGGAGGCAGGGAGGCATGAAGGGATCAGGCCGGTGAAGAGAAACACCTGCATAATCAGCCGGTTGGCGGGTCGGTGGGTGGGTGGGTGGGTGGGTCGGTCGGTCGGTCGGTCAGTCGGTCGCAGGCAGGTGGGACAGGCAGGCAGTACAGCCACTGTGGCACCTTGCCGGTGCAGAGAAGGCACTGACAAAGAAGTCTTCATCGCCTCGCGGAGAGGTTCATTTCTTTGTGGGACTGTTAACTGCTGTGAAGTTCATTCTCTCTAGGGCTGGCTGGCACCTAAGCATTTTTCCCTCTATATGAGGCCGGGCCGGACCGGGTCGATGGGGAAGGGCCGGTGATTGTTTAACAATGGCCCTCTCCATCTCCCTGTCCCCACCTGGTCTGTGCTTCCCCTCCACATTGTTTGACGACAATGTGTTCATCATTCCTACCCCTACCTCCAGCTTCTGGGCCTTGTGATGCCTCTGAGACATAGGGCAAGTTAGGGTCATTAGGCAGTTTTGCAGGAGGGGACCTCTGAAGAGTTTAGGAAGGCTTCAGAGATAAGGACAACTAGAGGAATGTACCTAATTCCACTGGGAATAATAAACATCCCAGGACCAAGGACAACATTGTGAACGCTGGCCTTGGTTTCCCCCAGGTGATAAAGGGAGGTGGAGTTTGGGGAAATGGAGAGTGGTTTAATTTATGGACAAATTAGGAGGGCAGCAGACTCATGTCTGGAAGACCACCGTCCTCCCCTTTGTCAGAGTGCAGGGATATTTATGCAAGGGGGAGGATGAGAAGGGGTCAGCACCGAGACTGGTGGGCACCAGCCTGTTTTTCTTCAATAGCTGATGTTGAACTTTCTCTTCCCTAAAATGCAGGGGTGCTCATCTGGGAGGCTGGGCCATAAAGATAAATCTATCAAACAAGGGGGAAGATGCAACAAATGGGGAGGGACACACCTGTTAGATAAGGAAGGTAAAGATCCCCCCGCTCAGTAGCAGGTTAAGTGAGAAAGCCTAGAGCTAACCAATCACGAAGAGACTGGTGGAGCTTTAGAATAATGAGGGAAAGAAGGTATATATTCCCTGAGACACGACTCCACTTTGGCTTCCTTGCCCCTCCCTGGCCTGGTTTCATGGCCTGGGAGTCCCACTTCATTTCTGTTCTTTTTCTCCTCAACAAACTTTTTCTTTCTCTAAACAAACCTGCCTCTTCTCGCTTGCTTGCCTGAGCGTCTGCGAAGGTCCTGCTGCGGCTTCATGACACACCAACCCGTGGTGGTCTGGTGGCTGGGACTTGGCGCTGCACCTGCAGCCTGGGATCTGTTCCTGGCTGGGAGACTAGGCCTGACAATTCCAGTATCACCTCCTTCCCCAAACTTTCTAGTCTTATCCTCCATGATCATGGCTTGGGGTTCGACTTCAGCTGAGCCACAAATACAGTATCTCGGCTTTAAAAATAACACCAGTATCCCTGCCTCAGAATATATCTTTAAAATCTCACGGGGATCTGGAAGAGGCAGCGCATCGAATCTGTAAATGGCATTAGGGGATGTGGCCATTTTATTTATTTTTTTAATATTCATTTATGCATACAAGAACTGGGGTACAGGCCAGAAAGGTGGGGGTGGGGGTAAGGGTGGTGATAGGATTCACCAGAGACAGAGTGGGGAACAGAGCAGGCAGATGGACTGAAGTACACTGCTGAGGGGAGCAGCGGGCGAGACAGGAGAGGTCTGCTGCACCATGTGGGTAGCTCCTTGGCCGGGGATCGAACTCGTGCTGCAGTGGCTGTGGATTGCTTCATAGGTTGCGTCTTAACCCCTTGCGCCACCATGGAGGCCCGATGTGGCCGTTTTAACGTGAGTCTTTTAGTATTCAGCGCGTGTCTATATGTGTGTGCGTGCGTGTGTGTGCGTGCGTGTGTGCGCGTGTGTGCGTGCGTGCGTGCGTGTGTGTGTGTGTGTGTGTGTGTGTGTGTGTGTGTGTCTGTCCTGTCTGTCTCTCTCCTCTTTGGAGCTTTTTTTTTTTTTTTTTTTTTTGTGGGACCCTCGCCAGTGGCCAGGGAATCGAACTGGCACTGCAGAGGCTTTAGGCAGCCTCGCAAAACCCAGCGCTCAACCGCTGCGCCACCAGGGGAGGCCCCTCTTTGGAGCTTGATGGGTCACTCCACCGAAATCCCAGGAGGCTTACTTCCTGGCGGTTGAAACAGATGGTGTCATGGAACAAGGACCCCTCCCCCCAAACACACACACACACACACACACACACACACACACACACACACGCACGCGCGCGCACGCACGCGCGCACTCTAAATCCCATTGTGAGTCTAAGCGACTCCAGGCCAGCCAGCCAGCCATCCACCCAAACCCACCCAACCCCGCCCAACCTCCTGGCATAAACCAAAGGCACTTTTATTGTGAGGAATGTTCTGAGGGCTTTCAGGTTTCCTCCCAGCAGATGGGCTCTGCTGGTTTATTTATGTAACTGTTTATGATGCGCTTCACCAAGACTGCACTGATCCCACAAGATTATCATCCAGCTGGGCAAAGCGGGAAATCAGGACGGCTCTTGGATAGATGAAAACACACCCTAAGGGCATGCATGATCATGAGCCTGATAGCCAGGTGGTGGTGGTGGTGGTGGCGGCGGCGGCGGCGGCGGCGGCGGCGGCGGCGGCGGCGGCGGCGGCAGCCGCGATGGGGGAGGGGGGCTCCAATCCGGATCTCTCGCAGTCTCTCGGGATTAAATTTATTTATTTACACATACAAGAGCTGGGGTGCAGGCAAGAGGTGTGTGTGTGGGCGGGGGGGCGTGGGTGGTGGTGAAGGAATTCACCAGAAAAGAGTGAAGAACAGAAAAGGAGGACTAATTGAAATACACTGCTAAGGGAAGCAGCGGGTGAGATGGGAGACTGCTCTGTTTTGCATTTCCGGAAATTCTTGCTAGCCCCTATTGATGGCCAGGTTCCCATGGCAACCCCATTGGTTCCCCCGCCCCCTCTTCTTAAACTAATTTGCATCTCCCAGCGTTGTTTAGCTGAGCTAGGTGCCCAGACCAAGTCTTCCCTTAATGAAATGATATAAAACACTCCCCCCACCCCCTCACCCCCAGCCCTGCCTCCCACGTTGGGTGCCACCAAGGAAACCCTCAATAACCATGTGTTTTCGAACTGGGGTACAGGCGAGAGGTGTGGGGTGGGGGGTGAGAGGGCCCACCAGAAACAGAGTGGGAAACAAAACAACAGATGTACTGAAATACATTGCCGAGGGAAGCAGCATGTGAGACAAGGAGAGGTCTGCTGCACCATGTGGGTAGCATCTGGCCTGTACCCTTACCCTGGTTCTTGCATAAACAAAAACAAACAAACAAATAAATAAATAAATAAGCCTTTAAAAATAATATAAGAATAATTTGGTTTACATAGATTGATAAATGTGTTACCTTTGTAAACATCATTTAAAAAGTCATTTGGTCATTTATTTTTATTTTAATTTTTTAAAATATTTATTTATTTATTTATTTATTTATTTATTTATTTATTTATACAAGCACTGGGTACAGTCAGAAGCACGGGAGGGTGGGAGAATTCGCCAGAGCCAGAGCGGGGAGCAGAAGAGGCAGACTGACGAAGTACACTGCTGAGGGGAGCAGCGGGCGGCAGGAGAGGTCTGCGCGCCATGTGGGACCCTTGCTGGTGGCCAGGAATTGAACCGGCGCTGCAGAGGCTGTGGGCAGCTTTGCAGCCCAGTGCTCAACCGCTGCGCCACCAGGGGAGGAGGCCCTGGTCATTTATTTCTAGTATCTCAGTTTCTTGTGGTGTTCATGAAAGGAATAACTAGGCCAGGGAGGAGAATGAAGCTAGAATTTTATGTGTGAAAAACAGTGTGCAGTCAGGTGTTGTTCTGTGGATCAGAGGGTGGGCATAAGACCAATAACCCTAAGTCAACTCTTATGGCCATTCTCCTAACTCGTCCCGGTCCCTGACCACACACACCCCTTTATGAGCCTTCCGTTCCTGTGCTTATACATGAACCTTGGTTTTGACCACATTTCCTACCTCCCAGAGCTACGGAGACAGTAGTATTTAAATCACAAGCCTTTAAAATAAAGTCTACTCCACTGTCAATGGCGCAAAAAAACTTGTCAATGGGGTAATGACAACCCAATGTACAAATAGAATTGACTCTTGATTTTTAATTGTGAAATCGAGAGTTGATCCCACTGATGTAATAAGTCACTTAAATTTCCACACTCACATCCTTCAGGTGGGCGTCAGTCTGGGATAGTCCAGACACAGGCTGTTTATTCCCATGCAGCTTCCGGGGCCCACCAGTTCGGGGATAGGTGCTGGGTGTGTTCACTGTGGATTGCAGTGGTGTGACAGCTGGGCTCAGCCCACCGTATCACTCCTCCCCCTCTGTCCTTCATCTTTTATTTTGTCATTGCCAGAACTTTCTGCCATCCCTCACTCCCATCCTCCCCTCCTTTCCATTTTCTCCATAATCTCCCTAGCTCTCTTGATGAGATTTTGATGACCGATGGCTGTGACATCTGTGTCCATAGCCACAGAAGACCCACCTGCTTCTCAGGGCTTTGCTGAACACAAGGGTACCCAGGGACTGCCATCCTTATGTTCTCTGTGCCCTTCAGGCTGTCAAGTCTAGCAGACTTGTTCCAACCCCATCACCTCCACAATCCTTCAAAGACCACTTTTTTTTTTTTTTTTTTTAAAGAGATCGGTCTGCCTGTTCTGTACCCCGCTCTGGCTCTGGTGAATTCTCCAGCCCTCCCGCGCTTCTGACTGTACCCAGTGCTTGATAAATGTGTGTGTGTGCGCGCGCATGCGTGCGTATCTAGCTAGCTAGCTGTCTGTCTACAGATATATCTATATCTGTATATATATATATATAGATATATAAAGGATATATCTTCACTTGTGCATTTATGAGTCTAACCTTGCTTCTCCCCAAAGGTTGTAAGGTCATCTCGTCTCGCTGTCAAATTGATGCTCTCCCCGTCTGAGAACCACTCTTCCTTAGTTTGTTGGTTTTGCCGTGATTTGTTACATCTTTGCATTTGTCTGTTTACGGTTGGTTGCACATATGAGAGAAAACATTTGATTATTTTCTTTTGCCTTCTGACTAAACTCACCGTCAGCCCTACAAATTCCTTCCATGTTGTTCCAAAGAGTATAAGATCATTTTTTCTTCTATCTGAGCAGGATTTCATTGACCATGTATATATATCACAAGTCTCTGTCCACTCGTGTGTTGTTGTGGGGGTATTTGGAATGACTCTGTCTTGATTATGTTGAATGGTGTGCAAAGAACATACACTCGTGTACCTGTGATTTCATGGGGCCCCAAAGTTGACATGTAGGCACATTGAGGTGCGAGAGTCATTTATGTCGTTCACACCTTTCTTCATGGCAAGTTCATGTACAGCACTGTCTTTGTGAGAGAAAATCCCATAGTTATGAGGACTATTTTTGGTATTTGGGAGATGAGATGGATGATTGGCATGGTTGTGATATCACAGAGATTGCCCAGAAACATACAAAATGAAACTATTCTGAGTGAGTGTCAAATTAAGCACATGTTCTCTTCCGTTGCTGTTTGTTCCTTCTTTTCTAAAGCTTTCAGTCCTAAATATTTGGAAGAAATTTCCCCTGTGATTCCTTTTTTTAAAAAACTGATTATTGGCCCTCCCCTGGTGGCGCGGCGGTTGAGCGCTGGGCTGTGAAGCTGCCCGCAGCTTCTGCAGCACCGGTTCGATCCCCGGCTGCCGGGCGAGGGCCCCACATGGCTGGCGCGCAGACCTCTCCTGCAGCGCCCGCTGCTCCCCTCAGCAGTGTATTCCTTGCTCGGTCTGCCTGTTCTGTACCCCGCTCGGGCTCTGGTGAATTCTCTTACCCTCCCGCGCTTCTGACTGTACCCAGTGCTTGTATAAATAAATAAATCTTAAAAATAAATAAGTAGGACCTCCCCGGTGGCGCAGCGGTTGAGCGCTGGGTTGCGAAGCTGCCCACAGCCTCTGCAGCACCGGTTCGATCCCCGGCCACCAGGTGAAGGGCCCACATGGCGCGCAGACCTCTCCTGCAGCGCCCGCTGCTCCCCTCAGCAGTGTACTTCGTCATTCTGCTTGTTCTGTTCCCTGCTCTGGCTCTGGTGAATTCTCTCACCCTCCCACGCTTCTGACTGTACCCAGTGCTTGTATAAATAAATAAATAAATAAATAAATAAACAAACAAACAAATAAATAAATAAATACATCTTTAAAAAATTAAAAAAAAAAACCACAACAACATATTATTTATGCATACAGGAACTGGGGTACAGGCCAGAGGTGTGGGGGGGTGAGAGGGTCCACCAGAAACAAGAGTGGGAAACAAAAACAACAGATATACTGAAATACATTGCCGAGGGAAGCAGCATGTGAGACAAGGAGAGGTCTGCTGCACCATGTGGGTAGCTCCCTGGCTGGGGGGATCCAACTCGTGCTGCAGCAGCTGCGGACAGCTTCATAGGTGTCGTCTGATACCCTTATGCCACCAGCGAGGTCTCCCCGTGCCCGTGATTCTATTCTTTCCTTTCTTCCTTCCTTCCTTCCTTCCTTCCTTCCTTCCTTCCTTCCTTCCTTCCTTCCTTCCTTCCTTCCTTCCTTCCTTTCTTTCTTTCTTTTTTTTTTTTTTAAAGATTTATTTTTATACAAGAACCAGGGTACAGGCCAGAGGTGTGGAGGGTGAGAGGGTTCACCAGAGACAGAGAGCGCTGGGGGGAGGGGGGGGGAAGAGAACAGGCAGATGGACTGAAATACACCGCTGAGGGGAGCAGCGGGCGAGTCGAGAGAGAGAGAGAGAGAGAGAGAGAGAGAGAGAGAGAGAGAGAGAGAGAGAGAGAGAGAGAGAGAGGTCTGCTGCGCCCTGTGGGTTGCTCCCCGGCTGGATCGAACTCGTGCTGCAGTGGCTGCGGATAGTTTCGTAGTAGGTTGTGCCTTAACCCCTTGTGCCACCAGGGAGGCCCAATAACCATGGGTTTTCTTCACCACCCGTGGCCCTGGCAGGAGCACCTGTTAGCTCATGCGGTGTGTGCCTGTGCGTCAAATGTCAATTAGAGGACCTTTGAGGAGGATCTTCCCATAGAGTTAGCCTCTGGAAAACATTTCGCCCTTTGGTGAAGTGCTTCTTCGTCCTCTTCCCTCCTCTCCCTTCCCCTCCCCTTTCCTCTCCTCCCCCCCCCCACCCTCCAGCTTCTTTGCCCTTTTCACCAAGTCTCTTTCTTGCCCAAGGCTGGGTGGGGGCATCCAGGGCTGTCATGCTGTTTGTGGATTTTGTGGCGGTGGTCTATCGACGAGGAGACCGGTCCCGCCGTCTTGGCTTTTCTGGGACCGGCGAGTCCACCCTTTCCTTCGGGGCTGGGTTTGCCGGTTTGGCCAAGCCTGGGCTTCCTCTGGAAGGGGAGTGTGGGGGTGGGTGGTGGGGTTGGGGGCGGGGAGGGGGGGGGAGCGTGCGGGGAGGGAGTGTTGTAGAAATTCTGGCCTTTTACCCAGGCAGAGGAAGAAACAAGCGGTGCTTCAGGAAGGGTGAGGTCAGGAACCACTTTATTACTCATGCAGGAGGTCCCAGACCTGGGTAGCCGCATACGGGTCTGAGCACCTGTTCCAAGACAAACGGTTTCTTTTATACACAGCTCCCTTAGATTGATAGCATCGGTTTTCAGCAGGACACAACCATTTGCTGCCAAGTTCCTAGACAAGGGTGGGGGTGGGGGTGGGGGTGGGGCCCGCGGTGGGCAAAGGGGGAAAGAATCAGGCATTTGGGGGATGGCCTTGGAGAGAAAGAGACCAGCTTGGCCGGCTGCCCAACCTTGTTCAAAATGTAACTGTGGGGGCCTCCCCGGTTGCACAGCTGTTGAGCGCTGGGTTGCGAAGCTGCCCGCGGCCTCTGCAGCGCCGGTTCAATCCCCAGCTGCTCCCCGGCCACCAGAGGAGGGTCCCACATGGCGCGCAGACCTCTCCTGCCGCCCGCTGCTCCCCTCAGCAGTGTACTTCGGTCCTTCTGCCTGCTCTGCTCCCCGCTCTGGCTCTGGTGAATTCTCTCGCCCTCCCAAGCTTCTGACTGTACCCAGTGCTTGTATAAATGAATAAATAAATTTTTTTTTTTAAATGTAACTGTGCACATAAGCAAATAAGCGAGCGCGCTCCACGGCGCTCCATCGAAAAAAATTGACACAATGGTGCTCACGTTGGAGACAGGTGAAATTGAAGACGAGATTGTATCATTGCCACCTCAAGAGAATGCGGGGGTGGGGTGTGAGGGGGTGGGGTGGGGGGAGTAATTATGTTTACATCAGCTGAAACTTAGATGGAAAGCTCTCTAAGGAAAGATTTGTTCAGTGAGCCAACCTGCAGATGACAATGGCTTTGGATCACTCACTGCGCCAGGCCTCAGACCCTTTAGCAGGGAGCTTGGATGACGGTTGGCTTAGCCGGTTCCCTCTCAAGGAGGTCCGGGTTGCCCCGCGGTCTCGGTCGTTCCCTGCGTCCCTGGAACCTGCCTCCCGTGTCGGCCCTGCGGAGGTTCTCTTGTGTGTTACGTCTTCCCGGCTGCCAGGCCGCAGCTCGTGGCCGCAGCTCGTGGCCGCTCTGGGGAGCCGGCCGGCGCTGGCCGCCCGGAGCGAACGGGGGGTGGGGGGGGGGACGGTGGTGGCCGGGACGAGACCGGGCGTCCTTGCGGCCGGCGGTGAGCCCTCGGCGGCCTGAGATCCGGATCGGCCCCGCTGCTGTTCGCGCCGGTTGTCGGGTGCCACCTGGCGGCCGTTTTTATGTCAGCGGCTCTCCGCCGGAGCGCTCGAGCGATTGATGGGAGGAGATTTGGCCGCGTTACCCGAGGCGGAGTTCCGGGAGGCCGGCGGCAGGAGCCGGCTAGATCCGCTCGCATTTGGGAGTGCAGCAGTCTTCCTGGCGGCCGGGATTGCAGGTGCAGGTCTATAGCGGGGTGGCTGTCGCCGCGTCCTCGGGCGGGCTGGGGTGTCTGGGCCGCCCGGGCGGGTTGACCAGCCACCCGCCGGTGACACGCGTCCCTTCCTACGTGGCACGTCCCACCCCACCGGGCCACCGCACCGCGCCACGCTAGCGTGCCGGGGCCTCCGCCGAGAGCAAGGGAAGCGGGTGTCCCGCGGCCGGACGGCCGTTCCTTTGTGTCGCTCCGGAGGTAGGGGACGGGCCCGGTCGTGCAAGGTGGGGCGTTATGGTGCGCCACGGGTCCGGCAGCGGCCGGGGTCCGGGGTCCGGGGTCCGGGGCCCGGAGGTCCGAGGGGACGTCGTCGCCAAGTTCATTTTTCTCTTGCCAAGTTCCTTGCTTTTTCTCTAAGTCCCGGGCGGGGAACCGGGAGCCCGTGAGGAACGGTCCCGCCCTCGCCCGCCTCCCTCTCCCTCGTTCCTCCGTGAACGTTTATCTCCCACGAGTTCCCGTGCTGACGCCGGGGGGCCGGGTGTGCACGTGAGCCGGCGGCACCCCCCCCACCCCGTCGGGCCCTGGTGTTCACCTGCGCCTGCGTGTTGAAGTCATAATCGGCAGCGAGAGTAGAGCGGCCCCCCGCCCCACCCCTCCCGCCGCCGGTGCGAGCGACGCGGGACCCCCGGACCGGTTACGCTCCTGAGGTTGACCAGATAACCCCAGGAGCTCCCGGATCGATGGTGTGGGGTTGTGGGCTGGCGGGGGTCCCCCTTTCCCCCTTCCCCCCTTCCACCAGCGCAGAGCAGCCGCCGCCGCCGCCGCCGCCGCCGCCGCCCCCCCCCCCCCCCACCCCCCACCCCCCCCACCCCCACCCCCCCCCACCCCCCCCCCCCCCACCCCCCCACCCCCCCCCCCCCCGCCGATGGGGTCGTCGCCGGGGTTGATGACCGGGCCACCGTCCTCGGAGGGCCGCGGTGACCTGCAGCTCGGCCGCGTCTCTGGGCACCGTGATATCTTCGGCCCAAAATGTGTATTTTCTGTCACCAGGTAAGTGCTGACACGGTCTCCCTCGACCACTGTGACGAGGGACCGGGGGCCGTCCCGTCCCCTGGGCTCCTCTCGCAGGGGGAGTGGCTTTTGTGCCTGCCTGGGCTTTGACCATCTGGCGCCCTGGCCTCCCTGCTACCTTGCCCGGTTTCGGAGCTTGCCCGCTGGGGCCTGCGTGCCGGCCTTTTTTGGAGTTCAGGGGTGGTCCCCGGTCCGCGGTGCCACCTCCGGCCTCTGGTGCCCGAGGGCGGCGGCGGAAAGCGGCGTGTTGGCGCGGGGGGAGCGTCTTCCATCCTCGCGTGCTCCTGCCGCCGCGGGCACCGCGGTGTGGTCTCGACGCTTTGGGGGATCCCCGCCCCGCCGAAGGCTCCCGTGCTGCGTGTCAGGCAAACTTCTCCGCTTGGGGGGTTCCCGCCGGGACGGCCGCTGTCAACACCCCCTGCTGATCGATGTGGTGATGTCATGCTCTCCTGGGCCGGGCCTAAGCCGCGCCAGACGAGGGACGGACGTTCATGGCGAATGGGACCGCTCTTCTCGCTCTGCCCGCGGGTCCCCGCGTCTCTCCTCCCCGCCTGCTTGGGCGGTGTGTGGGGAGCCGGGGGGGTGCGGAATCCGGCCCCGATCCCGTGCTCCTTCCCCGCCTCGCCGCCTCGCGGTGTGGGCGCGGGGGGGGGTGCGCGCGGGGTCACTGTTTTGACACAGCGTACCTGCTCGCTCTTGCCCCCCCTCCTCGGGGTGGGGCGTGTGTTGTGAGGGCGGCCCTCCCCTCCGCCGCGGTGGCGGGGGCCGCTTCTCCCGCCTCGGCACGCGTCCGCTCGGTCGCGTCCCACCTTGGCCGTCTTGCGGTGCTCCTGGAGCGCTCCGGGTTGTCCTTATCAGGTGCAGGAGGCCGAGTGGCGATGTCGGCCCGGCTCCCGGCGTTGTGCCCCCTCTCCCCTCGGGGTCGCCCGCTCTCGGTGCTTCTTCGGAGGCGCCTGTTTGCTTTTCTTTTGGGGGTCGAGCTCGGTTTAGAAGCGAGGGGCCGGCACGACCGCCTCCCTGCTTAGTTTGTTGTAGGGGGGCGGTGGCCTCGTTGCCCCCGGCTGGCGCGCTGTCGCCGGGGTGTCCCCGATTGGCTTGGCGAGCGCGCGTCCTGTGCCCTTGCCCTTCCCCGCCTTGGGGGGAGGGGGGGGGCCTGCACGTGGGCGTGTGAGCGATCGTGGCGGGCCGTTGTGCGCGCCGCCTCCTCCTACGTTGGAGGGGCCTAGGCGGTGCTGGGATTTTGGGGGCTCTTTGTGAGCCTCTCTCCCGGGACTGGCCACGGACCCGGCCGCGAACGCTCAAGTTGCCTTTTGTGCCTTGGCCATACCGCAGACCCCCCCCACCGTGCCCCCCCGCCACACCGCGGGGGTGGTACGTGTGGTGTTTGGCTTCCCCGCGGCCCCCGAGGAGGAGAAAAGAGAGGGGGCCTTGCCTTGTCGGTGGGGCCGGCGAGCCCTCGGTGAGAAAGCCTTCTCTAGCGATCTTTGCGAAATGCTGGGGGGAAAAGAAAGGGGTAGTCCAGTCACGTCGTGTTTTGGGGTACCCGGATTCCCCGTCGGAGGCTGGCTCCCCTCCCCCTTCTGCGCCCAAGTAGCCACTGGTGGCAGAGTCGCCCCCTTAACTCCTCCGCCTGTGTGTTGGTGGAGTCGAGGGTGTTCCGCCCGGCGGGTGTGTCTTCCCCTTCCCTGCGGTGTGCGGGAAAGGGGGTTGCACCCCTGAGCGCCTGCTCTTTGCTTACCGCGGCCCGCGCCTCCCCCCTCTGGCTCGGGGGAGGGTCCCGCCGGGCCGGGCCTTGGGCTTTTCTGCCGTGTGGCGCGTGGCTTTGTGTTGGGGCCGTCGTCCCAAGCGCGTGTTGCCCGAGGGCGCGCGCGCGGGTTTGTGGGGGGGGGTAGGGGTGCGTTCACCGCCCCCCCCGCCCTGCCCCGCCCCGCCCCCGAGAGCCCGGGCTTCCCTCGTTTCCCGCTCCCCCACGTCCCGGGCTTTAGCCCTGCGGCCTGTGGGTGGTGTTTGCGGTTGCAGGGCGGGGTCGGGCCGCCTCGCTTGCTCGGGGAGGAGGAGCGTGAGTGGCGGTGGCATGGGGACCGTGTGCAAGCCCCCCCGTCGCGGTGGCGGGGTGGGGGAAGAAGGACCTTGAAAGGACTGGGAAGCAGATGGAAAGAAGCGAGCTGTGCCGCCGGCGGGTGCCGCGACGGTTTTCGGCTTGGGGGGGGACCCCCCTGGGGTTTTCGGGGGCTCGGGCCTGCGGGGAAGAGGCTCTCTCGATGGGCTTGGCTGAAGGCCGGCTGGCGCCCCGGGCGTGGGCGCGGGACCGCTCTCGTGTTGTAGCGGTGGGATTCCCGCGCGTGTTTTCCACGGTGGCCTGGCCAGTGCCAGGGGCCCGCCTCTCGAGAGCGCTCCCCTGGGCGCGCTTTGCACCGAGCCCTGCCCTCCCCTGCCTTGGCCGTCGAGGCGCTCGCGTGTGCGTCTCTTCCCGGCGCCGCCGGCCCTCTCTCTCCTCCTTCGGGAGGGGGGTTGTTGGGTCGTGCGTGCGTTGGGGGAAGAGCGTTTCTCTTGCCCAGGGGCTTGCCCGCGCGCGCAGCCCCTGAGCTTTGTGTGCCGGCAGCTTGGCGGTTTGGGGGCTCCCCTGGGCCTCTCCCGTGCGGGGGTGGTTTGCCGGGTTTGGGCCCGTCCAGGGGGCGGTCGGTCGCCGCTCGGTTCCCGCTGGGACCGCCGCGGCGCTCGGAGGCCTGTGGCGGTGAGAC